TTTTAATGTTTTCTTTCATTTTTCTTTCTAAAAGATTTTTAATGCCTCTTTCATTTTTCTTTCTAAAAGATTTTAATGTTTCTTTCATTTTTTTTCTAAAATTTTTTTCTAAAAATTTTAATTCTTTCTTTTTTTCTTTCTAAAACTTTTAATGTTTCTTTCATTTTTCTTTCTAAAAGATTTTAAAAGCTTCTTTCATTTTTCTTTCTAAAGATTTTAATGTTTCTTTCATTTTTTTCTTTCTAAAGATTTTAATGCTTCTTTCATTTTTTCTTTCTAAAAGATTTTAAAGCTTCTTTCATTTTTTTCTTTCTAAAGATTTTAATGTTTTCTTTCATTTTCTTTTTCTAAAGATTTTAAAAAAATTTTTTTCATTTTTTCTTTTTCTAAAAAATTTTAATGCTTCTTTCATTTTTCTTTCTAAAAGATTTTAATGTTTTCTTTCATTTTTCTTTCTAAAGATTTTAATGCTTCTTTCATTTTTCTTTCTAAAGATTTTAATGTTTCTTTCATTTTTCTTTCTAAAGATTTTAATGCTTCTTTCATTTTTCTTTCTAAAGATTTTAAAGCTTCTTTCATTTTTCTTTCTAAAGATTTTAATGCTTCTTTCATTTTTCTTTCTAAAGATTTTAATGCTTCTTTCATTTTTCTTTCTAAAGATTTTAATGCTTCTTTTTTTTTTCTTTCTAAAGATTTTAATGTTTCTTTCATTTTTTCTTTCTAAAAGATTTTAAAGCTTCTTTCATTTTTCTTTCTAAAGATTTTAATGCTTCTTTCATTTTTCTTTCTAAAGATTTTAAAGCTTCTTTCATTTTTCTTTCTAAAGATTTTAATGTTTCTTTCATTTTTCTTTCTAAAGATTTTAATGTTTCTTTCATTTTTCTTTCTAAAGATTTTAATGCCTCTTTCATTTTTCTTTCTAAAGATTTTAATGTTTCTTTCATTTTTCTTTCTAAAGATTTTAATGATTCTTTCATTTTTCTTTCTAAAGATTTTAATGCTTCTTTCATTTTTCTTTCTAAAGATTTTAAAGCTTCTTTCATTTTTCTTTCTAAAGATTTTAATTCTTCTTTCATTTTTCTTTCTAAAGATTTTAATGCTTCTTTCATTTTTCTTTCTAAAGATTTTAAAGCTTCTTTCTTTTTTCTTTCTAAAAATTTTAATGTTTCTTTCATTTTTCTTTCTAAAGATTTTAATGCTTCTTTCATTTTTCTTTCTAAAGATTTTAAAGCTTCTTTCATTTTTCTTTCTAAAGATTTTAATGTTTCTTTCATTTTTCTTTCTAAAGATTTTAAAGCTTCTTTCATTTTTCTTTCTAAAGATTTTAATGTTTCTTTCATTTTTCTTTCTAAAGATTTTAAAGCTTCTTTCATTTTTCTTTCTAAAGATTTTAATGCTTCTTTCATTTTTCTTTCTAAAGGTTTTAATGCTTCTTTCATTTTTCTTTCTAAAGATTTTAATGTTTCTTTCATTTTTCTTTCTAAAGATATTAATGTTTCTTTCATTTTTCTTTCTAAAGATTTTAATGCTTCTTTCATTTTTCTTTCTAAAGATTTTAAAGCTTCTTTCATTTTTCTTTCTAAAGATTTTAATGCTTCTTTCATTTTTCTTTCTAAAGATTTTAATGCTTCTTTCATTTTTTCTTTCTAAAAGATTTTAAAGTTTCTTTCATTTTTTCTTTCTAAAGATTTTAATGTTTTTTTTCATTTTTTTCTTTCTAAAGATTTTAAAAGCTTCTTTCATTTTTCTTTCTAAAGATTTTAATGCTTCTTTCATTTTTCTTTCTAAAGATTTTAAAGCTTCTTTCATTTTTCTTTCTAAAGTTTTTAATGCTTCTTTCATTTTTCTTTCTAAAGATTTTAATGCTTCTTTCATTTTTCTTTCTAAAGATTTTAATGTTTCTTTCATTTTTCTTTCTAAAGATATTAATGTTTCTTTCATTTTTCTTTCTAAAGATTTTAATACTTCTTTCATTTTTCTTTCTAAAGATTTTAAATCTTCTTTCATTTTTCTTTCTAAAGATTTTAATGCTTCTTTCATTTTTCTTTCTAAAGATTTTAATGCTTCTTTCATTTTTCTTTCTAAAAATTTTAAAGCTTCTTTCTTTTTTCTTTCTAAAAATTTTAATGTTTCTTTCATTTTTCTTTCTAAAGATTTTAATGCTTCTTTCATTTTTCTTTCTAAAGATTTTAAAGCTTCTTTCATTTTTTTTCTAAAAGATTTTAATGTTTCTTTCATTTTTCTTTCTAAAAGATTTTAATGCTTCTTTTCATTTTTTCTTTCTAAAGATTTTAATGCTTCTTTCATTTTTCTTTCTAAAAGATTTTAATGCCTCTTTCATTTTTTTTCTTTCTAAAGATTTTAATGCTTCTTTCATTTTTCTTTCTAAAGATTTTAATGCTTCTTTCATTTTTCTTTCTAAAGATTTTAATGCTTCTTTCATTTTTCTTTCTAAAGATTTTAATGCTTCTTTCATTTTTCTTTCTAAAGATTTTAATGTTTCTTTCATTTTTCTTTCTAAAGATTTTAATGTTTCTTTCATTTTTCTTTCTAAAGATTTTAATGCTTCTTTCATTTTTCTTTCTAAAGATTTTAATGCCTCTTTCATTTTTCTTTCTAAAGATTTTAAAGCTTCTTTCATTTTTCTTTCTAAAGATTTTAATGCTTCTTTCTTTTTTCTTTCTAAAGATTTTAATGTTTCTTTCATTTTTCTTTCTAAAGATTTTAATGCTTCTTTCTTTTTTCTTTCTAAAGATTTTAATGTTCATTCTTTTTCCTTTCTTTCTTTCTTTTTCTTTCCTTTTAACTCTATTTTATTCACATTTAGATATTTCTTTCTTTTTGATATTTCTTTTATTTTTTCTAAAGATTTTAATGTTTCTCTCTTTTTTCTTTCCTTCGTTTTCCTTTCTTTTGTCTCTATTTTATTTATATTTTGATATTTCTTTCTTCCTTCTTTTCTTCTTTCTAAAGATTTTAATGTTTCTTCATTCAATTATTTCTTCCTACCTTGTCAACACGACTGATGACACCATTTTGAACACGTAGAAAAGCTGTCTGTCTCAATCTGTGTAAAATAAAATGCCTTAATTTTTTTAAATATTGAATTATAGGTTACACTCTGGTTCGGTAGTAGAGAAAATCGATAACATTGACGATCTAACGAGATAAAATTAACTGAAAAAAGGGATTTCTACTAATTGATTTATCTAATGTAGTGCGTTGCTTCAGGACATAAGCGATCATGGCTCGCCACAACATCCTGACCCGTCCTTGGTATGACGATAATCTACATCCGCGTCCCGGGTAAGACGATGAACTACGTCCAGCAGCAAGGCCTCTGATCAGGAGGTTTTGAGGAGCGTGGAACCACCTCTTAATTGCTGGTGTTCCCAGGTTCACTCTGACTCGGGGTGGTAGCACCTGTTAGGGTCCCAGCTATGGACAAATAATTAACCCCCGAAACTGGGGTCAAAACACCATGAAAGTGTAAAACTAGATTTTAATACCAGAAATACTTTTAAAATTATTACCATTGATACATTTTTGAAAAAAATACTACCAGCAATACATTTTTGAAGGAAAAATATTTCCAGAAATAGATTTTTGACAAAACAAAATATTACCAACAATAAAATTTTGTCGGCATTAAATAACCCATTGAGGTTGATATGCCCTAAAACAAAACAAACCAACATCCTGACCTTTGCAGCTCGAAGCATTTATTATCCCTTACTTTCTCTTACATTTCAATGCATTGCCATCAATGTACACAAACACATTAGGTAGGTCACTTACTGTTTCCTTTTTCCTCTTGTTCTGTGAGTATCAATTTCTCTAAGCTTTCTTTCCTCATTATGTGTCCTAGAAATTTCAACTGTCTCTTTCTGATTCTAAATAATTACGGAAAACTTACTCGTTGCTTACAGATTCCATTTAAGGTACTCTCGGAATCCTTTCGTAGAACCACATCTCTGTTGCCTCTAGTTTCCTCTGCATCTGTGAAGAAATTGCCTAGCATCTACTGCCCTGTGGAAGGATTTATTATACATTGTAGCGGAGTGAAAACGGTTTAAGTACAATTAATCTATTTAAATCTATTTTAAAAGCGTTAGCATATATTTGTACGTGTGTGTTTTACAGTGAGGTAAATCCTGTACAAGTCCCAAGATGCACTCGAAGTAGAGGGTTAAAGAGTAAGAGGCACAGTTTATGTGGATATGCGGGCAAGATAACGGTTAATCCTCGACTTGAACAGGTTGAAATTGTAATGATCGGTAAAACATCATGTTGGGAGTTGGTTCCACAAAGCAATGGTTCGTTGGAAGAAGCTGCGAAAGTGGTACTTATTTATAACTAATGGAATACAAAGGCAATGTAGGTAGATTGCTACAATGCGCATCGCATTTAGAAAAGGTCTTAATGAAATGTTTTCCTAATAAAAGCAGAGTTAGATAACCAAGTCTCCTATTAAGACTGCTTAATATCCCTTTAACGCTAATCCTTCTTGGTAAGGCATTAATCCACTCCTGCCTACACTCTGTTCTTTTGCTGTTAATCTTGGCTATGCCTGGTACGCTGCGAAAAAGTGTGATTTTTGTGCCTGCCTGAGCAATCTAGTTGGAAATAAAATGGCTGTAATATCCATTGTCAGTTTTAATAGATGACGCTTAGGATTCATTTATTTCTTTTATATTTCCCTCCTTAAAATATTCATAAATCTTTTCCCTTTCTTCGCCTCATTTATTTTCAGCACTCATATAAAGATATTTTTTATTGTTCATATGCATACAGACATATGAAACTCTATTTCAAACACTTTCCTTTCTTTCCCTCTCTGTCGCTGTTTCTCCCTCTTTTACAAGCAATCAATTTGTTATGTGCTTTACTTCATGCTCGACGCCACTTTTATTTATTTTTTTTTTCAAAAGCACCACTTTGCTACCCTACAAACTTGATTCACCTTCAAACCCACGAAAAAGTTAAAGAAAAAGACCAATATGCTTTTTTTCTTCATTTATTGCCTCGTCTCCTCATGTTCGATTAGCTTCTTTCTCCTTGGCCATCATCGCGCGTTGCCACGCCAGAGCAGTCGACATTATATTTTACCGAGTATATTATTCAATTATTTCTTGCAATCATTGGCTCAGCTTCTGAGTCACGACCTCTGTACAAATCCTGAACCTCTGACGTTAACTCCCTGCCACCATTTGCACGGGAAGACGTAAAGCTGTGCGATAAACGCGGGGGAAAAAAAGGCGGGAATACGTAAAAAAATGAGAGCAAGGGAAAAAATTATGGGATGTGGTAGGGAATTGGTTTCACCGGGTGGCGAAATGTATGAATTATGTCTTCAACCAGACGATATGATGTATATATTCTTTCGAGTTCATTTTTATGTTCATTTTCTTTTGAGTATTCTAGCTTTTTTTTTCAGCCTATCCCATACTTCAATTTGTATCTTTTACTTTCGCGTCTTTTCATTTTCTTTGTTCTCATTTTTTCTCTTTTTCAATATCTTATATATATATATATATATATATATATATATATATATATATATATATATATATATATATTCGCTTTTTTATTTCAGTTCGCTTCATATCATTCCATTCTATCACTGTTTCTTTCTTTTCGTCCATTTTTCGCCACCATCTTTCACTTTTTCTCATTCACAAGATCGTCTAATTCATTTAGTCCTAAAGTTTTTTTCTTTTTACGACTTTCTGCTTCTAAATTTGTTTTCTTATTCCTCCATTTTTATCTTTGGCATTTTTCTTCTACTTTTTCCGATGTTCTTCCTTTTTTTTTTTCTTATAGCTACTCTGCTAATTCAATTTCATTTTTCCCCCTTTTCATCGTCGTCTCCCTTTTTCTCTTTATGCACCTGCATATGTTGCTGCTTCCTTCTTTTCGCCTACAATTTTTTCTATCATTTTTCTTCTTTTCTGAAATGCCCAGATGATTCTTTTTCTCTTGTCGCTTCATCCTTTCTTTCTCCTCATCCATATCGTTTATTGTTTTAGTTTTACTTTTCTTCGTTTTCTTCTTCATTCTTTTTCTCCTGCAGGCATATTGTCTACTGATTTTCCACTCTCTCTTTGTTTTTATTCTTTTTCTCTCTTTTTCTCGTTTCTCTTTTCTTTCTGCTTTTCTCGTTCTTTTCTTTCATTCTTTTTCTCCTGTACCGACATTTTCTTTCTACTAATTCTCTACTTACTATTTCTTTTTATGTGGTGGTTCTTTTTTGTATATGAATCTCTATTTTTCTTTTTCCTTTCAGATTTTTCGTTTTTGTCTTTCTCTGAATTTTTCTTCTGTATCTTCATTTTTTAAACCTACTACAAAACTGTCCCTTTCCTTGATTTTGGTCACTTTTCTTTGTTTTAAATTTGACATTGTTTCGTTTTTCTCATTTTTTTTTCTACTCTAATTTCACTTTTTCTACGACTGTTTTCCTTTTCATTCTATTTTTTGCTCAACATGGACCTTCTTGACCGCAAAAAAAAACACAATGTCAAAAGGACGGTTTTTCCCTTGACACCACTATTTTTATTTTAACTACTTTCACTCCCCGGCAATATAGGCACATAGCCGCTTTCTGTCCATGACACTCGGGTCCGAACTTCACCATGGCCGACTTGTCAAGAAGGTGATGATGTTATCGGTCTGTTAGCGATCACAGCGTGTGGCACCTTTGGAAAGGGCCTGAAACCATACCACAGGTTAACCCAAACCTTGTGAGTGAGATTGGGTAGACGGTGGCTGTGCTAGCACGAAGTCACAAGTCATCGTGACCGAGAGTTTGAGTGTGCTGACCATGTTCAGACTGTTGATCACGCTAGATAATGTGCTCTCTCCCAGAAACCATAACTAATATCTGCTCAGAATAGTTGCAGTATAAACTACAGATGGGCTCTGTGGATGTTGAACAAACACAAATGTGCCTCAGCAGGTGTCTGCCATGGGGATTAGCTAGCCGTTCTAGAAGACTGGTATCCTCGGATACGAGTGGCTGCGCTATTTACATTATCTTTATTACTGCCCGGCAACGTTTATTTTTAAAAAAATAAAGTGACGATTTACTTTTTATCTACTGTATTTGATGATCTTTCCCATTTTTTTTTTCTTGTAGCTTCATTTTTCTTTCTACTAATGTTCTGCTTCCAAGTTCCTTGCTTTTCTTCTGTTTTATACTCTTCCCATATCTTTATCTAGTCATTCGCTTTTTTCTTCATTCTCAAACTTATACTTTTTCTTCTTCTTTTTTTATTTTTAATTTCTCCTATTGTTCTATTCTCTTTCATCTCATCGGTCTTTTCCTTCTCTTATTTCTTCCTTCTTCTTTTTTTTCTTTTTCGATTTTTTTTCTCCTTGTATTGTTCTCGTCCTACTTTCCTCGTACTTGAAATATCTTTCTCCTTCCTCTTATTCTTCCTTCTTTTTCTTCTTCATCCTCCTCTTCTCCCTTATATTTCCAATCTTTCCTCTCATCTCCCTTTTGTACTTGATCTTCTTCTTTCCGCCTTCCTATTTTTTTTCTTTTTCTCTTCCTTTTTTCTTCATTTCTTTCTCTTCTTTCTTTGGAATTTGCTTCTTTTTTTTATTTTCTTTTTTTTTTTTTTCATTTACTTTCTCATTCCACTACAAGGAATTTCTTCTCATTGTCCATTTTTCTCTTTACTAGTCTCTTGGTTTTCTTTTCTTTCTTTTTTCCATTAATGTATTTATTTATTCACTCTTTTTTTTTTTTTTTTTTTTCCCTTTGTCGTCAGGTTCTTTCCATCCCCATTCGCTATATTATGATTTCTCTTTTTCTATTCATTCTTTCTTTTTATTATTATTTTTTCTTTTCCTCTTCTTTCTTTTTGCCCCTCCAGCTTTTTCCCACCTTTTTTTTCTTCTTAATTTTCTTCTTTTTATCCGTTACTTCTTATTTTATTATGATTCTCTGGATCCTAACACCATTCTCTTTTTTCTTTATACTTAATCTTATCGTTTCTTCTTCTTCTTCTTCTTCTAATTATCTCCCTCTCCCTCCTCTACTACGATTCTCTATTTGTTTTCTTTACTTCATTTACTCTATCTATATTCCCACTATACTTCTACTTATCTTTTACTTTCCCCCGCATCTTAATTCTTAATATTGTTCTGTATATGCTTCGAACAATTTCCAAGATTTTTTTTTCTTCAGAACTACATCACGCCTTCTTTTTTTATTCTTTTTTTTTCTTTTTAGCTTTACTTCTACTTTTTTCCTTCAGAATCTAAATTGTTTTTTTTGTTCAAATTTAAATATATTGTCTTTTCTATCTTCGACTATTCTGTTGCCGGATGTTGCTCAAATTAATACTTCCTCGGTCCAAACGGTCGAGGAATTGCGAAAGGAATAACCAAAAATTTGAAATTAGGGAAAAAAACGGGTGGTCGGAGAGAGAGAGAAACAAGCAAGAGGGGGGGGTGCAGAGAGGGAGAAAACAGGGGGAACAATGAGAGTGTGTAGTGAACAAGTAAAAAACCTGTAAAATACATTGACAAACAAATGAATACATATATGAGGGCGTAAAGAATTATGGGGTGCTGAAAAATTTGGAGCTCGATGAAGGAGCCATTAGACAAGTATAAATCAGATGTTTGGTCATTTGAGGAGTGGGCTGAATCGAAGCTGTTTCAACAATCTCTTCAGATAGATGTAGATATATATACACATACATGCATACATAAATACTTACGTGTGTAGAGAGGATATGCATGCATAGATTTTAAATATTTATTCATTTTTTACATTATTTTAATGTAATACCCCCTCACACACCCACACACCCATATATATATATATATATATATATATATATATATATATATATACCAGGTATAACAGCAAAATTATCCAAATCGTGTAAACACAAAATTCTCCATTTGTTAGATTAAACTTTTAACCGTTGTACCTTAGAAATGATTAAAAAGATATCTTACTGGATTTCTCCGTGGTTTTTATAACGCTACTGGACTTTACTTTGAGCAGTAAGAATGTATAATTATTCCCTAAGCAAAAGAAAACTATCTATCTATCTAATATATATATATATATATATATATATATATATATATATATATATATATATATATATATATATATATATATATATATACCAGGTTTAACAGTAAATTTGGCCAAATCATGTAACAGCAAATTGTCCATCCAACAAAATTTTAATATCTAAAAAAATGCACTAAACTAATTGAATTTCTTTTTTTCCATGTTTTTCAGGTAAGACATTGAACCAACTTGACACCATTCGTTTGTAAGAATCACTGAAGAACCCTTTCAGCTATAAAGAAAGCTGAAAGGGTTTTTCTGTGATTCTTTCGGTAAAATGTCTTCCCAAATGACCAATGATGAGAGGAAAAAATTTATACAGGCCTTCAATCATTGTACTAGAATTCATGATCTGTCTTCCATCTTCAAATTTCATTCAAGAATCATCAAGAGAACGGCGAATAAGTTTTTAAAAAAGGGAACTGTCAAGAGGAAAATGAATCAGGATGTCACGACAAGAAGTGGGATCATCATTTCAACTTGGAATTAAAGAGAGCAATTAGAAAAAATCCAACTCAATCCATAAGACGTTTGGCACGTGAGAGACGAGTTTCACCTATGACAGTCCAAAAAGCAGTGAAATACGACTTTAAAATTAAATCGTATGAGAAATTTGTAAGGCATCTTTTACTCTAGGACAGAAAGTTAAATAGCTAGAGAGGGCGAAGTTCATCTTGAATAAGTTGTAAAATCATCCTGGAATAATATATATATATATATATATATATATATATATATATATATATATATATATATATGAACTTTATTTCAATCCTTCATGAGCTGCCGAAGATTAGCTATGATTAATTAATGGTGGACATGTCAGTTTCGTTTATGATCGATTTCATCACGATTCTTCTGTTAAGCTTGAAAGGGTAATTATGCATTCTTATTGCTGAAAGTAAAGTCCAATAGAGTTATAAAAACTCAGAAAATTCCAGTGAGATAACTTTAGTCATTTCTAAAATACAACGTTTCAAAGCTTCATCTAACAATTGGACAAATTTGCTTTTACACGATTTGGACAATTTTTGCTGTTACACCTATATATATATATATATATATATATATATATATATATATATATATAAGAAGATTTAAAAGCACTCAGTTTCTCAATCCTATCAATCAGATTCTGCTGAGAAAATCAACTCCCTATGTTCGAATGTCTTTCCAAAAATGGATTATTTTGAGAGAATTTCCAACCTGTGAGTATCGATTGCAAAAAGAATCCCTAATATTCTCAGCTGGATTCATATCCAGTAATTAAGCTGACCATAATATGATTCCAATGTCATTTTCTCTCAGGCAGGTTCTGTTTCTGTTGTATCTTTCATAGTGACAACGAATGCTCAAGCAAACAACGTTTCCAGCAGGATAGTTTTTCTGATCACTCGAAAGCGGTTCATAACGTAATTTTGCAGCGTTTCTTTTCACATATAAAACAAATTTAGATATATAACAGCGACGTATCGTTTATAGGATTTTCATTGTTTATGTTTAATTTTATTTGCATCTACAGAATTATGTGTAAATTTTGGAACGTCTATTGGGAATCAGGCCCACTTCACACCTCAAGTAGAACTCGTATATACGACCACGTCGCTAAAGTGACATCAAAAAATGATCGGCTCCTTGTTCCGCTTTAGAAAGAACCTAACACCGTCTGACAGGTTCTGTTTTTACAAGAGTTTGAGCAGACCAAAAACGGCGTATTGCGGGAACGCCTTTGCTCAGTCTTCCCTGTCCAGCTTCGTCAGCATTCAAAAGCGTTTTTCCTCATTGTTATTTTTATAAACCGAAGCTCCTTTCCCCTTTATCGCTATTTCCATGGCAGATGTTCGTGCTGCATTCTCTCACTCTCTCTTCCTGGGGGGTCTTCGCACTGCGCCAATTAATATAATGTTGTATAGCCCCCTTAGTTTGGGTGGTCTTGGGGCGACATAGTCGATTCACTCATATGTTGTATTTTCTCCCTCTCGTCTGGCCGGTGATCGCTAGTTGGTTTGGGTGCAGAGATGAAAGAACTTCAACACAGGGAATTTTAACTTAGCTATTTTATTAACATCGACGTGTACATCTTCTATCTATCCAGTGTGGTCACTCTCTCCCTCCATTTGGGAGCAGCTTCCAGACACGAAAGTCAAAATGTTTACATTCCTTGACGGTTTAGCAATAACTCACTGAAAAACCTTTCTCTAACTATCATTCCCACGCTAGTTTAGCCGACTTCCTTTATTTTGTCTTGTATCTGACCCCAAAGGTCAACCTCAGGAAGTTCGAGCAGAGATACACTTCCTCCTAAAAATAATAGTCTACTAAACTATTATTTTACGTTCGGGCGAAGTACATCTTTTCTTTTTTACATAAATATAAACCTCCGCAGCTAGAACCCACCAAGACACTTACAGTCATCCTCATTCCCTTCGTATTCCATTGGTAAGGAAGAAGTTTCACTCAGACAGATTCTTCCACAGGACTGATGCATTGGGGAAAGAAACTTTTGAGAGGATTTTACCCTGATCGTTGTAACCTTAACCTCTTCAAATTTAGGGTCAATTATTATCTATCCAAAATATCCTCATAATATGCACGATATTCTCTCTCCCTTGTGCTTTACAACAAATCCATTTCTTCTATCTTGAGTGGCTCTTGCGTCTTGTAGTGAATGAATCAATAGCAACAAAAATGTAAAAGAAAAAATTCCGTGCACTTTTGAATATATGCAAATGTTTCTGTATATAGGTAAAAACAAGATTATGTGTACATTTCTTTTCACATTTGCATATACAAATGGCATTTATTTGCAAGAATTGCCCTCAAAACTAACTAGAAATGTCAATCCCTTCTCTCTTTTTCATATTTGTCGTTACTGCATTTCCAGATCTTTTTTTTCTTTGACTTATTGCCTTTTCCTTTGCATTGTTTAGTTCTGAGGAATTTCTTCTTACGAGGAATTGGATAAAATAGGCTAGGTTAAATCATTGTGAAACAGCCGAAATTCCTTGGGTGCGCCGTTTCGTCAAAATTGAGCATATTGATCGATTGGAAACGAATTGGACATTCCAAAGCTTCTCATTGAATTAACGGTGGTTTTAAATTAGCAAATATCCCAGTACGTTGCCGAGCAAGAAGAGAAACCAGGAGAGAATAGCCAGTCAAACACAAACATGATGCCACACAAATTATATATGTCTATGTTAGCGGGTTGCTAAAATTCACGAGGCTGTTGAATTAGTGCTCCGGGTCGAGAAAGCAAAATATATTGTTTGTTCATTTGTTGTTGTTTTTTTGTTCCGTTTTTTTATCTTCATTTTCTTTTTTAAACAAGTGATCACGTTAACGTGACTAAGTGATTATGGCTCCTTAGATTACATGACAAATCCAAAACAGAGATGAGAGGAAAACGATTACACGGGCCATGCTGTGAAAATGAAAGTGAAAGTAGAGAAAGATATGGAACAGAGATGAATGTCAATAAATCATGGCAAAATGATATAAGGCAATTTTTAACAATGAGACCATGTAAAAGAAAGAAAATATTAAAATTATTCAGAAATTTCTCACTCGGATATCAAAAAACCTTCCACATTATTTTCTCATATACCTCTGCCATGGTCTCTATAATCTGTAGATTCGCTGATAGTAATATCTTTTTTCAGCACAGTTCTAAGTGTGTAGCTCAAAGCTACAAATTCCTTTTAATGGAATATATATATATATATATATATATATATATATATATATATATATATATATATATGATCGAAATAAAAGTATAAAACTTAATATTACGAGACATATTAAAACGGGCAGAAGCAACCGGTTTCGCTCGCTCTTCAGGCTTCAACAGGAATTTAATTTAAATTAACACAAGTTGTTGGAGAATA